TCGTTGGCACTTGATAATATAAAGTTGTCATGAGTCCGAATTCACTGGAAAGGGTTGGGTTTGGGATTGTGGAGAACCGGGGTAGCCGTGTTCTTAGTGGAGGAATCTGGACGTGAATCCTTGTGGGGTCAGCTCTGTGCTGAAGGACTGCCATTCTGCACTGTCTCAGAGTTGTTAGGGCCTCCCCTGCTCCACCTAGTGCTTCCTGATTGTGGAGGATCCCTTTGGTCTATGGAAGGAGATAGAATGGCTTATTCACAACAGGAATGTGATCTGCTCATCTCTCTCATTTCTGGTGTATTTTATAATTGTTGTAGACCATACACAGAGAGGGATAGACTGCTGTCGTTCACAGTAAAATTTTGGAGAGTCTATTTTAGGGTGCGCGGAGTTTTTGTGACAAGATGCAGTCAGTGATTTAGTGAATGTCCTCATTAAAAGGAGGTAGCCAATCAGTGTTCTTTGAGCAGATCTCAGGCGAGCACAGAAACTGGTGTTATGTACCTGTGGATTCTAAGGGTCCCAGGAATGGCAGCCTCATCTTTTTTTCTTAGTCATGTTGGCATAAGTGCTGCCTTGCTGATCGAGACTATGTGGGATGTTTTAGGGTACAGTGATCATTGAAGATGTGGCTGTGGTCTTCACCCACGAAGAGTGGGCTTTGCTGGATCCTGCTCAGAGGAAACTCTACAGAGACGTGATGATGGAAACCTTGAGAAACCTGGCTTCAGTCGGTATGAATGGCATCATCCTTTTTCTTTTTTTTTTTATCATCAACTATGCTTGCTTATATGGAATGAACAAGGGGAACACCCTGTAAAATAATAGGCATGGTCTCCTTCTATATAGAGCTCATGCATCCAGGATTCCCCTAATACAAAGCTCTGTGCACTAAACTGAGCTTTCATTTCTCTTGTGAATTAAAAAAAAGCCTTGGGCCTCTCTAGGTGCCATCAGCACAGCATTGATTTCAGGGTACACTTTCATGCACTGAGAGACTTGTCATGTAGGTCCCTTTCTGAGAGATTTATTGGGTTTCTGACAAGTTTGATGTCATGATTTTTATGCAAATGAACTAGCAACTGTCAATCTTTTGAGCTTTTAGAGATCAGAGTGCTATCTCGGTGACAAGGAATCTTTCATTGGTCATCAAGGTCTTCCTTGCGATGTGCATTTCTCCATGAGCCCCATGCTGTTGTGAACTGTCATCACCTTGGTTTCAATGCTTAGAGAACTTGTGTACATTTTCCTAGAGGTGACTGGGGGATTTATCCTACAGCACCACACTGGGACTCATAAGCTCCGTGGTAGCTCTACCCATTTGTTTTCTCAGACAAGTAAAGAAAAATCTGAGGAGACTGGAAATAAGAGTCACTAAGGCCCATGTTTCAGGAAGCCTGAGGAAATGTCATTTTAGCCCATGAATGAAGGAAATCAGTCAGCTTCAAAAAGTTTCTTACGCCTTGCAGATGCAATTTCACAGATACCTGCACTTATTCTGTTGATTTTAGTTTTCCTTTAGCACCTGTGGACACGGAGAGCCTTTGCCTTTGTAATGTTATATTTGTGGTATGTCTAATTCCTTTCTACTTAGCTCTCCTAATGATACCTGTATATGTTACTGTCCCTCTCCATCTTGATAGAAGTATTTCCTAGTAAATTGCATTTTAAGACTTGTCAAAGTGCTGGAATAGCAAAATGGGGCTGAGTCTTTTTTACTAGGAACCTCTGTTTCCTCTAATCATTCCCATTTTATTCTAATTATGGACTTTAAACTGAATGTTTGGATCAGTGGCTGGAAACATTAATGCTGGAGAAAAGTTACCCAGTGAACATTTAATCATACAATATCTGAAGAGTAACAAGTGGTTATTATGTATCACAGGTGCATTCATGGAATCACATGGCTGGAAGGATCACCCTGACAACCAGGGGAGACATTTGAGGTGAGTGTGATTCAAACAACAGAAGTTAGGGCTTCACAAAATCTCAGGAGGTGTCATAACTTCAAAATACACTGAAATGAGGGAGCTCCAAATAGTTCATGGAGAACTCCATCATCTTTCAATTGCAACATTCTGTGAACAATTTTGATTGAGTAATTGCTGGACAAGCAAAGGTTCCATAAGCATTTCCCAACAGTCAAATCTCTTGCCTTTTAAATTGTGAGACAATTAAGAAACTGTTAGTAGTGTGCCATTCAGATATGGTGGGAGCCTGCACAGCTCTAAATGTTTCTTGATCTCCAGAATCCTACAACATATCCGGTGTGAGATGTAAGACTCTTGGTATCCGTGCAGGTGTTTGGTGTTGCAGGAGTGTGTAGAGTGACACGTTCATATTGGTAGTTTGCTCACCATTCTTGAATGCAGTACCAGTGATTGTTTCTTCACCAAATCAAATTCTATTAAAACAACAGTTTTGATTGCTATGCAAACTGGACACTTCTCTCATTTATGTTGGAAATTGCTAAGTCATTCCAAAGTGGTTTGAATCCCTGAACCCGACTGATATATGTGTGTTGTGTTTGCTGAGTCAGTTCTGACTTTTAGCAACACTTTGTTGAGTCTCCAAGGAGTAGCTGTTGTAATGCACCATAAAGTTGCTCTTCTTTGGGGTTCAAATTAGCTTTCTGCCCAGTGTTAATCGTTCATTATGACCCATGTATATATGTATATCTGTATAATCCTGGCTGTAAAACAAATGGGTTCCATGCAAATTCACGTAAAAATGTGAATATTTCACTTGGAAGAGTAGCACATTGATGTAAATGCAACAAGATAAATGGGGTAATTTGCAGAGGACAACATTGTTTTACATTTACACTACCTGTTTTTAACAGAACTGGTGCAATCAAGAACCTGTATAAACCTTCTGAACCCAACCAGTGTGGGGAAACCTCCAGCCTGATTCCTGGTCTTTCTGTGCACCAAGTAGATCCCACAGAAGTAGATCCTTTTGAATGCTGTGAGTATGGAGGAGCCTTCCTGGATCATTCCCTAGAGAACAATCGTAGTAGAGCTCACACTGGAAGCAGTACCTGTCAGTGTCCAGACTGTGGGGAAGACTCCAGGTGTCCATTTCACCTGACACCCCTGTGAAAACTCATAATGGGAAAAATACCCATAAGAGTAAGATATGTGGGAAAGGTTTCCTTTGTATGTTGACCCTGAAGAATCCTGACTCAGTAATCACCAGTATTGATGGGTATGAATTCAGCAAGGGGACACAAAGGTTTTGTAGTTTTTCACCAGTTAGGACACTTTGGAAGGTCATCAATCCAAAAGTAACGAATGTTTTAGAATGCATACTTAGTCCTTCATATCTCATTTTAAACAATAACTCTCATCAGAGAGAGAAGCCTTCTGAATGTAATAGAGCAAGTCCTGAGGCTTCTTCCCACACTTAACATGTAAGCAATCACTCTGGAGAGATGCCTTATGAATGTAAAGAGTGTGGGGAAACTTTTAGAGATTCCTCAGACCTGACTGCACATAGAAGAAGCCACAGTGGAGAGAGGCCCTATGAATATATGGAGTGTGGGAAAGCCTCTAGTGAGGCGTCACTCCTCCTAGGACATATAGGAACTCACAGCAGACAGAGGCCTTTTGAATGTAAAGAGTGTGGAAAAGCCTTTAGGGATTCCTCACAGCACAGTAGACATTTGCAGACTCACAGTGGAGACAGGCTCTAAGAATGTAATCAGTGTGGGAAAGCCTTTAGCCGTGCCATCGGGCTCACAAGACATAAAATAGTCCACGGTGCATAGGGGCCTTATGAATGTAAGGAGTGAGGGAACACTTAGGGATTCATCAGGCCTGACAACACATAGAAGAATCCACACCGGAGAGAAGCCTTATGTTGGAAGCAATGTGGGAAGGCCTTCAGAGTGTCCTCAAAGTACAGTAGACACATGTGGACACACAGTGCAGACAGGCACTATGAATGTAAGGAATGTGGGAATACCTATATCTATGACTCAAACCTCATACAACATTGAAGAATCCACAGTGGAGAGAGGCTCTATGAATATAAGGAATGTGTAAAAGCCTTTATTTCTTCCACAGCCCTCACTGCACCTATGCGAATTCATAGTGGAGAGAGGCCCTATGAATGTAAGGAATGTGGGAAAGCCTTTCTCCGAGCATCAAACCTGAGAACACACAGAAGAATCCACAGTGGAGAGAGGCCCTATGAATGTAAGGAGTGTGGGAAAACCTTTATTCAGTTAGCACACCTCACAACACATAGAAAAATCCACAGTGGACAGAGACCTCATGAATGCAAGGATTGCGGGAAATCCTTTCGTCGACTCTCAGACCTCATAACACATAGAAGAATCCACAGTGGAGAGAGGCCCTATGAATGTAAGGAGTGTAGGAAATTCTTTAGTCAATGGTCAAACCTCACAAGACATAGAAGAATCCACAGTGGAGAGAGACCCTATGAATGTAAGGAGTGTGGGAAAGCCTTTACTCAATGGTCAGGCCTCACAATACATAGAAGAATTCACAGTGGAGAGAGGCCCTATGAATGTAAGGACTGTGGGAAAGCCTTTCTCCGAGCATCAAACCACAGAACACATAGAAGAATGCACAGTGGAGAGAGGCCCTATGAATGTAAGGA